ACCCGAAAGTTAATTGAAAGTTTTGTCTGATTCGAAAAGCTGATTTAAATACATTACAATCTCGCTAATTGTCTCAAAATCTTTTCCACGCATACTTTTTAATGCATCCCCGTATAATCTTATTTTAACTAATCTTGCTAGATCCGCTTGATTTCCAAGTGGAATAACATTATAAGCTTTCCAACAACTATCTAGAAAATCATGTAGCGGAATACAGTATCCATCGTATTTAGGAATGAAATTTACGATATCTTTCAAACCTACATTTCTCATACTAATTGTAGAATTTTGTACTGTACAGGTTACCTTTTGTGAATTTGAATGATAAATCGGTCTTGTGTTGACAAATGATCTGCATGTTGACTTTGGTGTAAAGTATTCCGAATAGCTACTTTTATCGTTTTGATTTGTTATTTGATCCCTTTTTTCATTAAATTTTGGTATTAAAAATTTAACATTTTTATAATTTATAACAGGAATTTCGTTTCTTGTTTTATTTATTTCGTCTTCGTTATCATTGTCAATTGTCGAGTTTGTCAAAGATTGGAAATATTCTCTTGACTCGTCTTTCATTATTTCCGCGGTTGACTCAATGATTGGTTCAAATTTATTTTCAATTTGTACTACTTTGTCAGTAAGATTCACTGCTTCTAAAATTTCTTTCGGACTTATATTGCGTTTTGTTAATTCTTCTACAATCAGTAGTAAAAATGGATCTTGACATGAATTCCTTATTAATTCTTCATTTATATAATGTTCTAAAATTTTTATTAATTTTTCTAGTTGTTGTTTTTTGCCCTCTATTTCGAAATCTAAATCCTGACGAGCGTGCAGAAATTTTATACATTCTAGTAATGTTGGTTCTCTACTAGTTATAAAATTCGCATATACTTTTTCTACGTAGTTTCTTAAAACTAATAGTGCTTCCTCATTTCGTTTACATCTTAAATCGGCTCCCGTAGCCATGTTGTAAAAAAAAATTACTTTTGCCTAGTCCTGCTTTTCGTTAAAAAAAATATACCCGGAGGGGTCCCCAATTGTTACGTCTCATGCAACGGCCGCGAATTGACAAGAGTTACTCAAACGCGACTGTCTCTTTTTGGTCAATGTGTAAGCGCTTTACCACAGGTACGAGACTAAAATGAGAGCAGATTGGCAACGTATCTAAAGCACCGATGGGAAAAGTGACAATTTAAATAATTTTACCTGTAGTTTGACTGGCTCAGCAACTCGTACGCCAGAAGCCAGAGATGTAACGTAGATATAAGAATTAGGTATACGAGTAGGTCTTTACTGGGTTATAATAAATTATTATAGAAATAGAGTTTAAGTATTTATTGTTCAAATTACAGAAGATCCGCAGTCTTACAGAGTCGAATAGAGAGTGAGTGTTACTATCTCTTTGAGTTCTTTTTTATATTACAAAATATATAAAAACTAATCTATAAAGGGTTAAACCCAGAAGGGGTAAGTGTGTCACTGAGAATAAAGTCAGCTATTAAATGACTATTACTTTAATTAAGGGAATTCCTCTTTCATAAAAATTCAAATTTTACCGCCATTAAATAGTCTGACTTGTTCTCGATGTAACTCAATCATGCAGGAAAGGAAAATAGCGAAGCTAACCATGACAGAATAAAAAGTATCTCAAGGAATATTTAAGACTTTATTTTACTTATTTTAGTGCTCGTGCTGCTAAGCAAGGTTGTACAGAATCAATCATTTTAGTACAGCGATGAGCGAATTGATACTCATGGTAGAGGCTCCTTTGTATGCCAGGTTGCCTCTACAACGTTGTTTTCGCAAATTTGCACAAACTTTGAACAAGCTTTAACGTAAAAACATGCACACAAAGTGTTTCTGATGAAAAAAAAATAGTTTAAAGATGCTGAATTTTATTATATTCATCGTTTATCGTGAAAAAATCGTCTTATAAAGTTATAAACAAATAAAGTTGAATGAATGAATAGGACAAAATTCAAAATAAAATCATATGGATTTTTTACACCAAAAAATCGTGTATTATATTTATAACTTTATTCAAGATTAAATTCGTAAATTTATCAAATAGAATTTGAGTAATATTTAAATGATAAATTCGTAAATTATTTTCTTTGCAAATATAAAATCGACAAACGAATTGTAACCGCTTTGACTATTTTGACAAGTACATATAGTATGAATCACTACCTTGGATCGCAATATTAAATGTTTAAATAAATTATTAATTTTTTATTTATTTAAAATTTTGTTCAAAAGTCAATCATTAACGTGTCGAATTGCTTCTTTTTCTTGAGATGGCTTTTAGCTGTGTGATATTTGAATGGGCATTACATTTGTTTGTTGTAAAATTATATGTGATTCATGTATGTTGTAACGGGGATTTAGACCGCTACAATAAATTAATTAAACCAAGATTGAGTAGTGGCTGGCACATATGCAGCTCTTTGCGGTACTGCGTTCTGTTACGCAAGACCGGCGCGGTAGGTCAGATCGCCAACTGGCCCGCGAAGAGCGTCGTAGGTCACGCAGCTTAAATCGCGAAAGTTAAGGGAAGCGATAGGTACGAAAGGGTAGTTCAAAAGAAAAGCCATGCAGTTTTAATAGTGTACGAATATACATAAAGTTTATGTGCGTGTCAGTGTACAGGGTGGTTCAGAGAGAGCGGCGAGATAGGCAAAACGAGAGAGAGATCTAAGGAACGGTCGGTACTTACATTAATGGAAGCCCTTGTATTGCAATTCAGCAAGATCGCAAAATTCGCCTGACTGTACTGTCGTTTGTCGCAAAGGAAAGGAGGTATTGCACGGACAGTTGCACCTCACTAACTTATCACAGTCAAAAGTCTCTCCGTTGCCACGAGGCAATTCTCAAACAAAAATGTTAATACAAGCGCACGCACGAACGAATGCCTCTGCACAGCTCGCGAGCTATCGGCTAATTGCTGGCCCTTCGTCACGCGGCGCGCGGCGCGCGGTTCGTCATACTAGTCGCTAAGCCTACACGCACATGCGGTCTCTCTCTGCCGGTGCTCTCACTTACCTTCTCCGCAGTCGTCGTCTGCTGCTGCGAAGGAGAAATATAGTTCAAATATTGTAACATTATAAATATATGATATTCTTAATATTATGGTCATATATAGAGAGAGACATAACGAGTTGATGTCAAACTCGTTATAATGTAAATTAAATTTTGCCAAGTATTAATTAATTAATACATAATAGAGTTAGATTCGAAATCAGCACATCGAAATCAAATGAAAATTTGTTTTTGTTCGTTGAAAAAGCTTAAAATAACCAATTTCGCATATTAAAAAGTAGATTTGGTATAAGTAGATGTGAAGTCACACTTTTTATATGGTAATGATTTGATTGAGTGCCTAAACAAACCTAAGCGTATGCATGAGATAGCGCCTTAGTTTTGATATCATTTTTCCTCATTTTCAGGTATATTTATTGCCGTAACGTAGTGAGAGAGGAAAAACATAAATCAGACTGGACTTTTACATGTGTTATTCGCCTCTTATTCATTATAGTACAAGTCTTTATTTATAACAAATTATTAGATTATCGGTTGCAATGGTAGTCGATTCGATCAATCGATACGTTCGCGATTCGATAGCACTCGCGATGCTAGAGCGAACGTCTAAGAGAGAGAGAGGGGGCGCGCGAGAGTTCAAAGTTTCAGTTAAGCCTCAGCTATTGTAGATAGAACAGCCAAATAGTTTTTCCATTGTGTTCCTGCCGTTTTGCCTTTTGAGATCAAAAGTTTTCCTTGATTTTCGATACGTGCGCGAGTGATAGCAAGGAAGCTGAGTAAAAGCAGCATCACATCAGCAGCAACTAAAGCAGCAGCAAAATAGCAGCAGTCACCGGTATTCGTAACTGAGGCAGCGCAGCTGGTTTCAGAAAAGTACCTTCAGTTATTTCTTTTCAACAATTACGGCTGATCACCGTAGTTGCACCGCAGGGTAGGTGCACCTCCCTTTTTCTGCGTGACAAAATATTTACGAGAATATTTTGTTGATCGCGACCGTTTGTCTGTTTGCGCCGAGCGTTTTCGCGGTCGAATTTCGAATTCTCTCTCTCTCTCTCTCTCTCCCCGTATTATTGTTACACATTGTAAATCCTATTCGCGTGCGTACATCTTTCGGCCCAAAGACTGTAGTTTTCTAGTCATAAACGATTTTGATTTTATTTGCCGCATTACGTTATTTCGTTTCCTTTTAGTTTAACGGATCCGTCACCGGTTAAATTTTAAACCGATTTCATCTAGGGGTTAGTTGGAATAAACATTAGGTCACTCACACCTAAGATAGATCGAGTGTCACAAGTTAGGTGACTTAAGGTGAGTTCAACTCTGTTGGAAAGAAGACATCGGAACGAAAGTATCAAACGTAAAGGCGAATACATGTATACTCATACGTGTTTAACGGAGCGGCGGTTAGCTCTACATCGTGGGAGTTTGTTCTTTAATAAACCCATTTTGTACCAGCTAATCCACTCCGTTACACGGTATTTATTTGCAAACTTAATGCATTAACAAGAATGTAGTAACTACGCTCACATTTTTATGGAAGTCAATCATATACATACTTAACAGCAATAGGATCATATCTATTACGTGTTTACTACTCTCAGCTTCGCCTTACATATCTTTCTAGTAGTAGAATCGGCCTTCTTTGTTCCTATATAGCGTAATATGTATGTTAAGAAATATTACTTTGTTACTTCAAATTTTTTTTTCAACCATCTTTACTTTAAATCTGTCTACAAAATAGCAATAATTATATTTTATCATAATATTAGTGATAAAATTATAAATTAAGGTACTTTGCCACTAATCTGCATACTATATTAATAATATAAAACTTATTATGTTGAAAAAAAACTGCATCGAACGATCACTGCTAATTTTAAGTATAATTAAGTGTATTTTTTTCCTAGTAAATTTAATTAAATAAATAAATGATTTTTAAATTATCAATTTAATGTTACTAGGATTTGCTTGGGTTACATTAGCAACTAATGACACATATGCTTTGGGTGCATTGGTTTTGGCTCATTCTCTACGCCGTGTAAACACACAATATGATCTGATAGTCCTTGTTACACCAGGTGTCACTCAATTCATGAAGTAAGTTTTATGATTATATTCATTTAATAAGTATATATAAATAGTATAATTTTTCTATAATAAACAAATAGTATATCACAATATAAGTAGTTTAAGACATAAGTTTACGATATGACATTAGTAGCCTAAATGATACTCATGTCAAGCAATAGTGAGATACTTGAGTTACAAGTATGGTATAATATTTTATAGTATAGTAAAACTTAACTCAATATTAACTATTTATCTATCCTTGGCCTAGAACAAGTTAATTTTTTTTTGCCATTAGGTTGAAATTAAAGCGTCAGCTAGGGCAAAAATGAACTGTTTGAGTAACCGTAAAGGTCTATTTGCCAAGTTTAAATATGTACGATCCTGTTGAGGATTACTTTCACCATAAGCTACTCCGTTGACACGTCACCAATCAGTAACTATGTTACTAGTCATGCCAGTCTGATTTGAATAACAAACTTGAGCGCTTGTTATAATGTAATAAGTATCCACCTGCATTTTATACGAAATCTACCTAGATATATTCAATATTTATTTGGATCCAGCTGGAAATCTATCCTGAAAATCTAATGGCATCCACATGGACTCGATATTAATCTATATGGGTATCCAACTGCATTTCTATATAGAAATACAGTTTGTATTTCCAGTTGGATTTTCCAGTAGAGAAAATATACTATACGTCAGAAATAGAGTTACGAAATATGTTACAGTAAGAATAGAAGAAAATTTCAGAAGCGTCATTAAATAAGTTTTTTTACAGAATGCCTAGAATTTGACTTGAAGTAATTATAAAAAAAGATAGACACTTTGATAAAAGTAATGTTTTATTTCTTCTCAAGCTCTGTGTTATTTATTATTATATGATGGGATCTTGGCCGAGTTGATCGGCCCTGTCTGGGTCGCTCGCTTTCTCTCTCTCTCTCTCTCCCTCTCTCTTCCGCAACTCGTTCCATAGCTGTGACCATGGTAGGTGTAATGGAAGTCAAGAACCATTATTGAGCCGGCGCGGTGGAGAGAGAGAGAAAACATGCGCATGGGTCGAAAGTATCGACTGATGGCCGAAAGCGCGTTAAAGAGCGAGTGCCAATCATTAGCCGTCACCAATATACATTGCTACGCCAAGAGCAGCGAGAGACAACGACGACGTCGAGCACCAATAAGCATAAGAGTGTCTAAGTCTAGCCATTACCACTAAGGATCTGCTATTGTCATCCGCCTTCTGCCTGCCGTCAATGTGCTCAGCCATATCTACACCAGCTTCAGTCAGTCTTTGTCAGGTCAAGTGATCTCTCTGTCTCTCTGTCTCTCTTTCTCTCTCTCTCTCTCTCTCTCTCTCTCCCTCTTCTTTCATTCGAGAGTGCGCGACGCAACAGCGAAGTGTTCGCGATTATCCGCGAAGACGGCGTTTGCGGTGAACCTTTCTTTGATTTCTCTTGGACTCATCATGTAGCATGATGTTTATTTATTTGCAACGTTCTCTTGTACCTAGTGGTGAAGTTAAATAAATAGTAGTTAAAGGTTACCACAGAGTCATTCTTGCGTGCACCCGCAATTTCCCTTGCCCTTGAGCAATCACCCAGCTTACCAGCTTCATCACAAGGTCCATTGTCGCTATTATAGTGGAGCGAACGTGCCTCCTTTACCTTCCTCAGCTTAAATAATTAATTAGTGACGCGATACCCGGGCACAGGCCCATTGCACGGCTCGTAGAAGTAATTTACCATGATTATTCCCGTGTCCGCGTCTATCGTATTACATGGCATCCCTTGTGGGGAAGCTGTAACATTGGCAAGGGAAATCGTAATAGTCGAGGCATCGAGCAGTGACAAAGTCGAGGCATCGAGCAGTAACAAAGTCGAGAGTCAGCGAGCGGAGAGCCAGACCAAGCCCGTGTCAAGCGACGGATGGCTGTGCGCAGCATCGCGGCGTTCAAAGCCGTGCCGTACTACTGCGCATGATCGAACTCAATGCAACTGACGAGGATTTCGAGTGTGACGATCTTCTACCCTTGAGTGAAATGCGAGCGGTAAGCACCGTCGGAGAGCTGGTTCAGTGTCCTGGCGTCTAGTATTACGAACAAGAGGATGAGCCCGGCGTCCTGGGTTAGGTATGGGGCTAATTCGCGCACTGTCCTGTTATAAACTGTCCTGTTTAGTCCTAGAGACGTGCGGAATGCGCTGTCTGGTAGTGCGAATAATATTTATTGAGTGGAGCAAGCCGCAATAGGACTTTGCGCCGACAAGCACCCGCTGCGAGCATCCGTTGTGCCGCGCGCTCCTGGTAGCATGCCGCCCTCCTCTACTCTTGAATGTTGGAGAAAGAGTAGCTCACAACAAGTGGAGTCGGAGGAGAAAGAAGAGCAAGAATTTTTTTCGGAGTATTCCGGTCACGATAGGAGACTCGACAGATGTAATGAAAAGTTTAGAAGATGTTTTTCGGAAGGCTTTCTGGGGAGTAGGCGAAGAGAAACGATCAGTTAGAATTAAGGACGAAAAGATCGACTGTGAGGCCGTTGACCACCGAGAGGAGCGCGCGCGGCTGCCGATGTGAGTCGAAAGCAAGAGGAAAAAAAGTGCCGACGATCCGGACAAAGGTAATGCGCGAGCGTTGATAGAGAGACGCAGAGTAAACCAAGCGAAGCGACGGGCGAGCATGAATCTGAAGAAGACCTTGTAAGAATTCTTCTTATAAATACTGTTTTATTGTTGCCACAAAATATCTATGTAGCAATGCAATTGGTCGAATCATCTCATTTGAAAACATTTCCAAAAATATTTGGTGAGATCGTTAACAAAACAATTATGTCATTATCATTAAGGCAATTATTAAAAGGGTTATTAGAACGATTGTATCATTCTTGATAATAAAAAAAGTTAATTTAAAATTATTATGGCAGGATATTTCTTCTGATGATGAATATATGAAAGTATTTTAGTTGCATTCGGATATTTTACTTGTTATCGATGATATTTTAAATATATCTTATATATTTCTTGTAATATGAAATCAGAGATTCTTTAATTAGTTATTCCAAATAAATGTGTCAGCTCATGATTCTGTCTGATGGCCACTTAGACATTAAAAAATATTACATAAAATTTGTAAAAGATTTTCTTGGGCTTTTTGTAAATTGGTGGGGTTCTTGTTTGGTATGTGTTTTAAAAAAGGTCCATTAGATAAAGGGCACAGTCAAATGAAAATCTAAAATGTAAGATTACCTTTCGAGAAAGTTCAAATGGATATTTTAAACCCTTTTCCTATTTCTTCATCAGGTAATAGGTTGTGACGGTAAACGTCAAATTAGCGCTAATAATCTAACCTAATTGCTGCCTGCGGGGGCAGTACCTACCGGGGAGACTAGAAATGTAACGAAGGAATTCGGCACGCGAGCAGACGGAACGCGCGCGATTGAAAATGAACCAGTGAGGGTTTATCCATCATCACGTTCGCCCGTATTTTCGTCATCAACTACCGATACGCGAGCCACCAAGACCGAAATTCGCGAACAGAGCGTCCATACCAGAGCTGATTGGGAGCGACCGCTGTTATCGAGGTGCCGTGCAGCTACCAGGAGTGCAGACCTGAGCCAGCAGAAAAGCGCTGTGTCCTGTGACCTCGAAAGTGTGCGTGTGAGGTTTCGCCATGGAGGGCGAAACCACGTGCGCGCGAGTTCGCGACCCGCGACACGAACAAAAACAAACCGCTTTCTCGCAGTGCGACTAGTTACCGTCATCTTCGTACGTCTGCCGAATAAAGGTAAGCTGGCCAGCTTAATCTCGCGATCGCGATTGCATGCGTAATAACTAATTTTCCGTGCTCGAAGCGTGCATGTAATAGCTCTACGGACAAAGAACAGCGAGCGTCCCGACACTGCATGTTGTTGTCGAGCGAGCGTCGATGTAAACATGAACACGCGGGCCGATTCTGATGTAGCAGTTGAAAAGACAATAAAAGGTTTCGTTCGTGATATTAACAAGTGCTTTCAGCGTGTTTATTCCGTAGTAACTCCACTCCTGTAGATTCGTAGATTTGTTGGTTGACTGACACCCGTTCCCTCTTGCTCTCCGACTTTCTTATTTGACATAGGTGATTACGAGTACGTTTACGCGATCGTCTTAATAAAAATAATTAAACGGTAGCAACCCCGTTACAAGGTACCTCGTGGTTATAAAGGATTGCTTCACCAAATGGGTCGAAGCATTTTCACTCTTCCGAATGAAAACGAAAACAGTTGCGGAAGTATTTGTCCGTGAGATTTTATGCAGATATAAAGTTCTTTTAGAAGTTCAGACTGATTACGGTCATAACTTCTACGCTAAGTTAGATAAAACATTGTCTCAATTGTTAGATATTCAAAAAACTTGAAAAACACCACTAGTACAGTTTAGTGAGCAGCTAGAAAAACTAAAATAACACTCGAATATTTATCTTAATACATATCAGAAAATCAGAAGGATTGAGATCGCTTAATTTCATTATATCTTTTAGTTTAAAAATTCTTAATACATGTCATAACAGTAGTCACCCCGGCTGAAATAACTAGTTATGACATGACTTGTACTGGATTTATTACTTGGAACTCTGTCTACTATTGACGAACTTATAAACTCTAGTAACTACATACACAAATAGAAGATAAATCTCGATAAAGTACATTATTTTACAGGACAAAATATTCGGATTTCATCTTAACAAATAAAAGATACTACAATAGAATAGCTCGATACATTGATTTTTAAACTGAACAAAAAGTTTGGTCTTACAATCCTCGCAGAATCAAGGATAAATCACCAAAACTTCAAAGCAATTGGGAAGGATATTTCAAGATTGTACCAAAAATCAATGATATCGTTTTCTGCATTTAGGAAACCCCGAAATATAAGAAGAAAATTGTTCACATCGATCGACTAGTAACTTATTATGACAGATAATTCTATCTGCTTCTTTCACTAGGAAAATACTAAGACAGGAACAGAGGTACGGTACCACAGCATAACAACTTTTTA